CTTAGGCTTGGTTACAAGTACTTCTGGCAGTTTAGGAGACACACAGATGATAATTAAAGCAAATAGAAAGTATGTAACCAGTCCTGTGGTCACTGTCTTGAACACTATGTGCTTAATTGTCCACTTATTGAGAAATACAGAGACAGACAGTATAATAACCTATGTGACATGTCAAGATATCTTATTAAGGAAAATAAGATACCAGATATAATAAGCAAATTCCCTAAATTTACTTGTAACAGATAAGTGAACTTTAGATATAAATCCAGATGTACACCTGTTAACCCTTTTGAGGCCTAGTTCCTAGGCCTACTGTGTATCCATATGTTCTTGTGTTACCAACCATAGGATGGATATGAGGTACACAATAAACTAGCCACTACCATCCACAGGATGGATATGAGGTACACAATAAACTAGCCACTACCATCCACAGGATGGATATGAGGTACACAATAAACTAGCCACTACCATCCACAGGATGGATATGAGGTACACAATAAACTAGCCACTACCATCCACAGGATGGATATGAGGTACACAATAAACTAGCCACTACCATCCACAGGATGGATATGAGGTACACAATAAACTAGCCACTACCATCCACAGGATGGATATGAGGTACACAATAAACTAGCCACTACCATCCACAGGATGGATATGAGGTACACAATAAACTAGCCACCTCGGTGGCAAAAATCTATAAAAATCTAACTCTCTCTCTCTCTCTCTCTCTCTCTCTCTCTCTCTCTCTCTCTCTCTCTCTCTCTCTCTCTGTCTTCAGGATATCCGTTCAAGAAAGAACTCGAAATAATGGATTCAAATGGGATAAATTTAGATTTAGAAAAGATAGAGGAAAGTATTGGTTTAGAAACAGAGAAGTGGGTGAGTGGAACAGTCTCCCTAGTAGTGGATGAGTGGAACAGTCTCCCTAGTAGTGGATGAGTGGAACAGTGTACCTAGTAGTGGGTGAGTGGAACAGTGTACCTAGTAGTGGGTGAGTGGAACAGTGTACCTAGTAGTGGGTGAGTGGAACAGTGTACCTAGTAGTGGGTGAGTGGAACAGTGTACCTAGTAGTGGGTGAGTGGAACAGTGTACCTAGTAGTGGATGAATGGAGCAGTCTACCTAGTAGTGGATGAGTGGAACAGTCTACCTAGTAGTGGGTGAGTGGAACAGTCTACCTAGTAGTGGGTGAGTGGAACAGTCTCCCTAGTAGTGGATGAGTGGAACAGTGTACCTAGTAGTGGGTGAGTGGAACAGTCTCCCTAGTAGTGGATGAGTGGAACAGTCTCCCTAGTAGTGGATGAGTGGAACAGTGTACCTAGTAGTGGATGAGTGGAACAGTCTCCCTAGTAGTGGATGAGTGGAACAGTGTACCTAGTAGTGGGTGTGTGGAACAGTCTCCCTAGTAGTGGATGAGTGAAACAGTGTACCTAGTAGTGGGTGAGTGGAACAGTCTCCCTAGTAGTGGATGAGTGGAACAGTGTACCTAGTAGTGGGTGAGTGGAACAGTCTCCCTAGTAGTGGATGAGTGGAACAGTCTCCCTAGTAGTGGATGAGTGGAACAGTGTACCTAGTAGTGGGTGAGTGGAACAGTCTCCCTAGTAGTGGATGAGTGGAACAGTGTACCTAGTAGTGGGTGAGTGGAACAGTCTCCCTAGTAGTGGATGAGTGGAACAGTGTACCTAGTAGTGGGTGAGTGGAACAGTCTCCCTAGTAGTGGATGAGTGGAACAGTGTACCTAGTAGTGGGTGAGTGGAACAGTCTCCCTAGTAGTGGATGAGTGGAACAGTGTACCTAGTAGTGGGTGAGTGGAACTGTCTACCTAGTAGTGGGTGAGTGGAACAGTCTCCCTAGTAGTGGATGAGTGGAACAGTGTACCTAGTAGTGGGTGAGTGGAACAGTCTCCCTAGTAGTGGATGAGTGGAACAGTCTACCTAGTAGTGGGTGAGTGGAACAGTCTCCCTAGTAGTGGATGAGTGGAACAGTCTACCTAGTAGTGGGTGAGTGGAACAGTCTCCCTAGTAGTGGATGAGTGGAACAGTGTACCTAGTAGTGGGTGAGTGGAACAGTGTACCTAGTAGTGGGTGAGTGGAACAGTGTACCTAGTAGTGGGTGAGTGGAACAGTCTCCCTAGTAGTGGATGAGTGGAACAGTGTACCTAGTAGTGGGTGAGTGGAACAGTCTACCTAGTAGTGGGTGAGTGGAACAGTGTACCTAGTAGTGGGTGAGTGGAACAGTGTACCTAGTAGTGGGTGAGTGGAACAGTCTACCTAGTAGTGGATGAGTGGAACAGTGTACCTAGTAGTGGGTGAGTGGAACAGTGTACCTAGTAGTGGATGAGTGGAACAGTGTACCTAGTAGTGGGTGAGTGGAACAGTCTACCTAGTAGTGGGTGAGTGGAACAGTGTACCTAGTAGTGGGTGAGTGGAACAGTGTACCTAGTAGTGGGTGAGTGAAACAGTCTACCTAGTAGTGGGTGAGTGGAACAGTGTACCTAGTAGTGGATGAGTGGAACAGTGTACCTAGTAGTGGGTGAGTGGAACAGTGTACCTAGTAGTGGGTGAGTGGAACAGTGTACCTAGTAGTGGGTGAGTGGAACAGTGTACCTAGTAGTGGGTGAGTGGAACAGTGTACCTAGTAGTGGATGAGTGGAACAGTGTACCTAGTAGTGGGTGAGTGGAACAGTGTACCTAGTAGTGGGTGAGTGGAACAGTGTACCTAGTAGTGGGTGAGTGGAACAGTGTACCTAGTAGTGGTGAGTGGAACAGTGTACCTAGTAGTGGATGAGTGGAACAGTGTACCTAGTAGTGGGTGAGTGGAACAGTGTACCTAGTAGTGGATGAGTGGAACAGTGTACCTAGTAGTGGATGAGTGGAACAGTCTCCCTAGTAGTGGATGAGTGGAACAGTGTACCTAGTAGTGGGTGAGTGGAACAGTGTACCTAGTAGTGGGTGAGTGGAACAGTGTACCTAGTAGTGGGTGAGTGGAACAGTGTACCTAGTAGTGGTGTGAGTGGAACAGTGTACCTAGTAGTGGGTGAGTGGAACAGTGTACCTAGTAGTGGGTGAGTGGAACAGTGTACCTAGTAGTGGGTGAGTGGAACAGTGTACCTAGTAGTGGGTGAGTGGAACAGTGTACCTAGTAGTGGATGAATGGAGCAGTCTACCTAGTAGTGGATGAGTGGAACAGTCTACCTAGTAGTGGGTGAGTGGAACAGTCTACCTAGTAGTGGGTGAGTGGAACAGTCTCCCTAGTAGTGGATGAGTGGAACAGTCTACCTAGTAGTGGATGAGTGGAACCGTCTACCTAGTAGTGGGTGAGTGGAACAGTCTACCTAGTAGTGGATGAGTGGAACAGTCTACCTAGTAGTGGGTGAGTGGAACAGTCTACCTAGTATGTGGTGAGTGGAACAGTCTACCTAGTAGTGGATGAGTGGAACAGTCTACCTAGTAGTGGATGAGTGGAACAGTCTACCTAGTAGTGGGTGAGTGGAACAGTCTACCTAGTAGTGTATGAGTGGAACAGTCTCCCTAGTAGTGGGTGAGTGGAACAGTCTACCTAGTAGTGGGTGAGTGGAACAGTCTCCCTAGTAGTGGATGAGTGGAACAGTCTACCTAGTAGTGGGTGAGTGGAACAGTGTACCTAGTAGTGGATGAGTGGAACAGTGTACCTAGTAGTGGGTGAGTGGAACAGTCTACCTATTAGTGGGTGAGTGGAACAGTGTACCAAGTAGTGGGTGAGTGGAACAGTGTACCTAGTAGTGAGTGAGTGGAACAGTCTACCTAGTAGTGGGTGAGTGGAACAGTGTATCTAGTAGTGGGTGAGTGGAACAGTGTACCTAGTAGTGGTTGAGTGGAACAGTGTACCTAGTAGTGGGTGAGTGGAACAGTCTATCTAGTAGTGGGTAAGTGGAACAGTCTCCCTAGTAGTGGATGAGTGGAACAGTGTACCTAGTAGTGGGTGAGTGGAACAGTCTCCCTAGTAGTGGATGAGTGGAACAGTGTACCTAGTAGTGGGTGAGTGGAACAGTCTATCTAGTAGTGGGTAAGTGGAACAGTCTCCCTAGTAGTGGATGAGTGGAACAGTGTACCTAGTAGTGGGTGAGTGGAACAGTCTATCTAGTAGTGGGTAAGTGGAACAGTCTCCCTAGTAGTGGATGAGTGGAACAGTGTACCTAGTAGTGGGTGAGTGGAACAGTCTACCTAGTAGTGGATGAGTGGAACAGTCTACCTAGTAGTAGGTGAGTGGAACAGTCTACCTAGTAGTGGGTGAGTGGAACAGTCTACCTAGTAGTGGGTGAGTGGAACAGTCTACCTAGTAGTGGATGAGTGGAAGTCTACCTAGTAGTGGGTGAGTGGAACAGTCTACCTAGTAGTGGATGAGTGGAACAGTGTACCTAGTAGTGGGTGAGTGGAACAGTCTACCTAGTAGTGGGTGAGTGGAACAGTGTACCTAGTGGTGGATGAGTGGAAGTCTACCTAGTAGTGGGTGAGTGAAACAGTCTACCTAGTAGTGGGTGAGTGGAACAGTGTACCTAGTAGTGGGTGAGTGGAACAGTCTACCTAGTAGTGGATGAGTGGAACAGTGTACCTAGTAGTGGGTGAATGGAACAGTCTACCTAGTAGTGGGTGAGTGGAACAGCCTGCCTAGTAGTGGGTGAGTGGAACAGTGTACCTAGTAGTGGGTGAGTGGAACAGTGTACCTAGTAGTGGATGAGTGGAACAGTGTACCTAGTAGTGGGTGAATGGAACAGTCTACCTAGTAGTGGGTGAATGGAACAGTCTACCTAGTAGTGGGTGAATGGAACAGTCTACCTATTAGTGGGTGAATGGAACAGCCTGCCTAGTAGGGCTATAACAGGGGCTTGCTAGCAGCATGTCACTGATGTCAGCTCTGACCTGTATACCTTGTACATGTACTTGTAGATATTAAGACTATTATTATTATTATTATTATTATTAATATAATTATTATATCTCTCACATACGTCAGGTACGCAGCATCCCTGCTGGGAGGAGGAGATGAAGAAGCCGGCTTCGCACTCATGAGAGTGAAATACTTAATGATGATGCTGGTGTTGCCTCTACATCACGTCTACGGTTATAGTATGATTACCGGTAATCTTTATATCGGAGGTACGACGCTTCTTCTGCCGGTCTTCTCTCCTCAGAGATTCCTCAGCGCCATTGAGCAGTTTAAGGCAAGGATGCTGAGGATTCTGGCCACCCTGAGTGAACGTTTTAAGGGAGGAATAGTGTTTTGACAATCCTGAGTGGACGTTTAAGGGAGGGATAGTGTTTTGACAGTCCTGAGTGAACGTTTAAGAGAGGGATAGTGTTCTGACTGTGCTGAGTGGACGTTTTAAGGGAGTGATAGTGTTTTGACAGTCCTGAGTGAACGTTTAAGGGAGGGATAGTGTTTTGACAGCCCTGAGTGGACGTTTAAGGGAGGGATAGTATTTTGACAGTCCTGAGTGGACGTTTAAGGGGGGATAGTGTTTTGACAGTCCTGAGTGGACGTTTAAGGGAGGGATAGTATTTTGACAGTCCTGAGTGGACGTTTAAGGGAGGGATAGTGTTCTGACTGTGCTGAGTGGACGTTTTAAGGGAGGGATAGTGTTCTGACAGTCCTGAGTGGACGTTTAACGGAGGGATAGTGTTCTGACAGTCCTGAGTGAACGTTTAACGGAGGGATAGTGTTCTGACAGTCCTGAGTGGACGTTTAAGGGAGGGATAGTGTTCTGACAGTCCTGAGTGGACGTTTAAGGGAGGGATAGTGTTCTGACAGTCCTGAGTGAACGTTTAACGGAGGGATAGTGTTCTGACAGTCCTGAGTGAACGTTTAACGGAGGGATAGTGTTCTGACAGTCCTGAGTGGACGTTTAACGGAGGGATAGTGTTCTGACAGTCCTGAGTGGACGTTTAAGGGAGGGATAGTGTTCTGACAGTCCTGAGTGAACGTTTAACTTAAAAACTGTTCGATTTGACAGGTAAAACCGGAACAAGACTTTACCGAAATACTTCAGACTTCTATGAAATAAAACTAGACTTGATTCTAGGGAAGAAAAAGACTAATTGAGTGTATCAAAATAAGTCTTACTGAGTGAAATAAGGCTTTACTTGAGAGAAATACCTAAATCAGACTTTAGAATTTTTTGGAGTCCAGGAAAAAGACTGATTTACTAGTTTACAGACTTTCTGGATTTTCTAAGGCTTAAACTACGCGTAATTTTAGCGATAAAAGTCTAATTTAGTCTTTCTAAGACTTGCAGGATGATTTAGGGTGAACACTAGAGAAAGAAAAGAATAATTTAGAGTTATTAAGTTATGAGGTTAAGTGATAACTGAGGTTAAGTGATAACTGAGGTTAAGTGATAACTGAGGTTGAGTGATAACTGAGGTTGAGTGATAACTGAGGTTGAGTGATAACTGAGGTTGAGTGATAACTGAGGTTAAGTGATAACTGAGGTTAAATGATAACTGAGGTCAAGTGATAACTGAGGTTAAGTGATAACTGAGGTCAAGTGATAACTGAGGTCAAGTGATAACTGAGGTCAAGTGATAACTGAGGTTAAGTGATAACTGAGGTTAAGTGATAACTGAGGTCAAGTGATAACTGAGGTTAAGTGATAACTGAGGTTAAATGATAACTGAGGTCAAGTGATAACTGAGGTTAAGTGATAACTGAGGTCAAGTGATAACTGAGGTTAAATGATAACTGAGGTCAAGTGATAACTGAGGTTAAATGATAACTGAGGTCAAGTGATAACTGAGGTTAAGTGATAACTGAGGTCAAGTGATAACTGAGGTCAAGTGATAACTGAGGTTAAGTGATAACTGAGGTTAAGTGATAACTGAGGTTAAGTGATAACTGAGGTTAAGTGATAACTGAGGTTAAGTGATAACTGAGGTTAAATGATAACTGAGGTCAAGTGATAACTGAGGTCAAGTGATAACTGAGGTTAAGTGATAACTGAGGTCAAGTGATAACTGAGGTCAAGTGATAACTGAGGTTAAGTGATAACTGAGGTCAAGAGATAACTGAGGTTAAGTGATAACTGAGGTCAAGTGATAACTGAGGTCAAGTGATAACTGAGGTCAAGTGATAACTGAGGTTAAGTGATAACTGAGGTTAAATGATAACTGAGGTCAAGTGATAACTGAGGTCAAGTGATAACTGAGGTCAAGTGATAACTGAGGTTAAGTGATAACTGAGGTCAAGTGATAACTGAGGTCAAGTGATAACTGAGGTCAAGTGATAACTGAGGTCAAGTGATAACTGAGGTCAAGTGATAACTGAGGTCAAGTGATAACTGAGGTCAAGTGATAACTGAGGTCAAGGGATAACTGAGGTCAAGTGATAACTGAGGTCAAGTGATAACTGAGGTCAAGTTAGATCAAGTAAGGAGGTCAAGTTATAAGTGAGGTCAAATAATGAGGTCAAGTTACAAATGAGGTCAAGCTATAAGTGAGGTCAAATAATGAGGTCAAGTTATAAGTGAGGTTAAATAATGAGGTCAAGTTACAAGTGAGGTTAAATAATGAGGTCAAGTTACAAGTGAGGTCAAATAATGAGGTCAAGTTACAAGTGAGGTCAAATAATGAGGTCAAGTTACAAGTGAGGTCAAATAATGAGGTCAAGCTATATATATATATATATATATATGAGGTCAAATAATGAGGCCAAGCTATAAGTGAGGTCAAATAATGAGGTCAAGTTATGAGTGACGTCAAATAATGAGGTCAAGTTTAAGTGACGTCAAATAATGAGGTCAAGTTACAAGTGAGGTTAAATAATGAGGTCAAGTTACAAGTGAGGTTAAATAATGAGGTGAAGTTACAAGTGAGGTTAAATAATGAGGTCAAGTTACAAGTGAGGTTAAATAATGAGGTCAAGTTACAAGTGAGGTCAAATAATGAGGTGAAGTTACAAGTGAGGTTAAATAATGAGGTCAAGTTACAAGTGAGGTCAAATAATAAGGTCAAGTTTAAGTGACGTCAAATAATGAGGTCAAGTTACAAGTGAGGTCAAATAATGAGGTCAAGTTACAAGTGAGGTCAAATAATGAGGTCAAGTTTAAGTGACGTCAAATAATGAGGTCAAGTTACAAGTGAGGTCAAATAATGAGGTCAAGTTACAAGTGAGGTTAAATAATGAGGTCAGGTTACAAGTGAGGTCAAATAATGAGGTCAAGTTACAAGTGAGGTCAAATAATGAGGTCAAGTTACAAGTGAGGTTAAATAATGAGGTCAAGTTACAAGTGAGGTCAAATAATGAGGTCAAGTTACAAGTGAGGTTAAATAATGAGGTCAAGTTACAAGTGAGGTCAAATAATGAGGTCAAGTTACAAGTGAGGTCAAATAATGAGGTCAAGTTACAAGTGAGGTCAAATAATGAGGTCAAGCTATATATATATATATAAGTGAGGTCAAATAATGAGGCCAAGCTATAAGTGAGGTCAAATAATGAGGTCAAGTTATGAGTGACGTCAAATAATGAGGTCAAGTTACAAGTGAGGTCAAATAATGATGTCTAGTTATAAGTGAGGTCAAATAATGTCTAGTTACAAGTGAGGTCAAATAATAAGGTGAAGTTATAAGTGAGGTCACGTGACAGGTGAGGTTGTGTCCTGTAGTACCTCACCTGGTCAGCTTCCTGGCAGACACACCGCTGCTAGACAGGTACGACCTCACCTCCCTGGAAGTTATGTTCTCCGCAGCTGCACCTCTACCTGTCTCAACCCACACCAACATAATTAACAAGGTAATTATTATTATTATTATTATTATTATAACTGCTTGCATTAGTAAGCGCTAAACTCTCCGGGGTCATGTTATTGGAATATTAGTAACTACCTCAGTTACCCCAACAACACTGCTTTTAATATATATATATATATATATATATATATATATATATATATATATATATATATATATATATATATATATATATATAAATACGACTGTTTATATAATACAAATGTTGTCATATTTATTAATTATATACATTACTATATATATTCTTAAACACCCTGGCCGTCTCCCTCCGAGGCAAGGTAACCCGAAAGAGAAACACATTTACCATCATTTACACTATAACTATCTTGCCAGAATCGTGTACTGTACTGCCACCTCCAGGACTCGAGTCCGGCTTACCCGAATCCCTTCAAAAAATACTACCTTGCTCACACTCCAACAGCTCGTCAGATCCCAAAAACCATTTGTCTCCACTCCTAACACGCTCACATACGCCTGTTGGACGTCCAGGCCCCTCGCACACAAAACCTCCTTTACCTCGCTGGATAACGTTCAGAGGACTTTCTCTGTTCTTATACACTCCATTAAACACCTGAAATATTGGGAAACGTTCAAGTTCCTTAAAGTGTATTCCTTGGAACGTAGACGAGAAAGGTACATCAAAATTTAAGCGTGGACAATCCTGGAGGACGGTGCAAAATACCTCCGCAATGTGTACAGTAAGAGAGAACTCGATGAGTGCCAGAGGTCCCCGACTCTTCAACGCCCTCAGTGAACAAGGAAAATCATCCAGAAACCTCTGACACTTCCAGAGGGAACTGGACAGGCGCTTCAAATCAATGCCTGACCAGCCAGGCTGTGGTTCGTATATCGAACTGCGTACAACCAGCGGTAACAGTCTAGATGATCAAACCTTGATTCTCCAGGTCTGGTCTGATACCGCCCCGCGGGGGCACTGACCCCCTAACACGTCTTTTAGGTACCCTTCGTCTATTTTTGTGTAATGAAGACTTTAAACCCCATTAACCCCTCTCTCTCTCTCACCAGACAGGGATAGACTTTAAACCCCATTAACCCCTCTCTCTCTCACCAGACAGGGATAGACTTTAAACCCCATTAACCCCTCTCTCTCTCTCACCAGACAGGGATAGACTTTAAACCCCATTAACCCCTCTCTCTCTCTCACCAGACAGGGATAGACTTTAAACCCCATTAACCCCTCTCTCTCTCACCAGACAGGGATAGACTTTAAACCCCATTAACCCCTCTCTCTCTCACCAGACAGGGATAGACTTTAAACCCCATTAACCCCTCTCTCTCTCTCACCAGACAGGGATAGACTTTAAACCCCATTAACCCCTCTCTCTCTCACCAGACAGGGATAGACTTTAAACCCCATTAACCCCTCTCTCTCTCACCAGACAATGATAGACTTTAAACCCCATTAACCCCTCTCTCTCTCTCACCAGACAGGGATAGACTTTAAACCCCATTAACCACTCTCTCTCTCACCAGACAGGGATAGACTTTAAACCCCATTAACCCCTCTCTCTCTCTCACCAGACAGGGATAAATTTAAACCCCATTAACCCCCCTCTCTCTCACCAGACAGGGATAGACTTTAAACCCCATTAACCCCTCTCTCTCTCACCAGACAGGGATAGACTTTAAACCCCATTAACCACTCTCTCTCACCAGACAGGGATAGACTTTAAACCCCATTAACCACTCTCTCACCAGATAGGGATATACTTTAAACCCCATTAACCCCTCTCTCTCTCACCAGACAGGGATAGACTTTAAACCCCATTAACCCCCCTCTCTCTCACCAGACTGGGATAGACTTTAAACCCCATTAACCCCTCTCTCTCTCACCAGACAGGGATAGACTTTAAACCCCATTAACCCCTCTCTCTCTCTCTCTCTCACCAGAGAGGGATATACTTTAAACCCCATTAACCCCTCTCTCTCTCACCAGACAGGGATAGACTTTAAACCCCATTAACCACTCTCTCACCAGACAGGGATAGACTTTAAACCCCATTAACCCCCCTCTCTCTCACCAGACAGGGATAGACTTTAAACCCCATTAACAACTCTCTCTCTCACCAGACAGGGATAGACTTTAAACCCCATTAACCCCTCTCTCTCTCACCAGACAGGGATAGACTTTAAACCCCATTAACCCTCTCTCTCTCACCAGACAGGGATAGACTTTAAACCCCATTAACCCCTCTCTCTCTCCCAGACAGGGATAGACTTATAAACCCCATTAACCCCTCTCTCTCTCACCAGACAGGGATAGACTTTAAACCCCATTAACCCCTCTCTCTCTCACCAGACAGGGATAGACTTTAAACCCCATTAACCCCTCTCTCTCTACCAGACAGGGATAGACTTTAAACCCCATTAACCCCTCTCTCTCTCACCAGACAGGGATAGACTTTAAACCCCATTAACCCCTCTCTCTCTCACCAGACAATGATAGACTTTAAACCCCATTAACCCCTCTCTCTCTCTCACCAGACAGGGATAGACTTTAAACCCCATTAACCACTCTCTCTCTCACCAGACAGGGATAGACTTTAAACCCCATTAACCCCTCTCTCTCTCTCACCAGACAGGGATAAATTTAAACCCCATTAACCCCCCTCTCTCTCACCAGACAGGGATAGACTTTAAACCCCATTAACCCCTCTCTCTCTCTCTCACCAGACAGGGATAGACTTTAAACCCCATTAACCACTCTCTCTCACCAGACAGGGATAGACTTTAAACCCCATTAACCACTCTCTCACCAGATAGGGATATACTTTAAACCCCATTAACCCCTCTCTCTCTCACCAGACAGGGATAGACTTTAAACCCCATTAACCCCCCTCTCTCTCACCAGACTGGGATAGACTTTAAACCCCATTAACCCCTCTCTCTCTCACCAGACAGGGATAGACTTTAAACCCCATTAACCCCTCTCTCTCTCACCAGACAGGGATAGACTTTAAACCCCATTAACCCCTCTCTCTCTCCCCAGACAGGGATAGACTTTAAACCCCATTAACCCCTCTCTCTCTCTCACCAGACAGGGATAGACTTTAAACCCCATTAACCACTCTCTCTCTCACCAGATAGGGATATACTTTAAACCCCATTAACCCCTCTCTCTCTCACCAGACAGGGATAGACTTTAAACCCCATTAACCCCTCTCTCTCTCACCAGACAGGGATAGACTTTAAACCCCATTAACCACTCTCTCACCAGACAGGGATAGACTTTAAACCCCATTAACCCCTCTCTCTCTCACCAGACAGGGATAGACTTTAAACCCCATTAACCACTCTCTCTCTCACCAGACAGGGATAGACTTTAAACCCCATTAACCACTCTCTCACCAGACAGGGATAGACTTTAAACCCCATTAACCCCTCTCTCTCTCACCAGACAGGGATAGACTTTAAACCCCATTAACCCCTCTCTCTCTCTCACCAGACAGGGATAGACTTTAAACCCCATTAACCACTCTCTCTCTCACCAGACAGGGATAGACTTTAAACCCCATTAACCACTCTCTCTCACCAGACAGGGATAGACTATAAACCCCATTAACCCCCCTCTCTCTCACCAGACAGGGATAGACTATAAACCCCATTAACCCCTCTCTCTCTCACCAGACAGGGATAGACTTTAAACCCCATTAACCCCTCTCTCTCTCACCAGACAGGGATAGACTTTAAACCCCATTAACCCCTCTCTCTCTCACCAGACAGGGATAGACTTTAAACCCCATTAACCCCTCTCTCTCTCACCAGACAGGGATAAACTTGATGTCAGGCTACGGGATGACTGAAGTTGCCTCTGTTACTACAAATGGAAGCGTCTATGGCTTCTGTTTGGGATCCGTGGGGCGTGTGATGCCTTATACCAAGGTTAAGGTGAGTGCCAGGTGTGGGAGTGCCAGGTGTGGAGTGCCAGGTGGTCCTGGATAATGCATGGTGTCACTAGCCTCGTATTTCACATTGTTGTTATCTCGCCTGTCAAATACTCATGAGTATCTTGTATGTTGTATTCATGTCTCCCCTGGTTCTCCTCCGGCATGTATATGTGTGTAAAACTCCTTCAATACATGTCAATTCTGAAAAAATAAGCACAAATTCTATATAATACGATCCTTTATTAACGTTTCGCCCACACAGTGTTTATAGTGTAGAGAGTCAGGTGGAGAATACTGGGTAGGCTCGTCTCAGATCCAACCTAACTAACATTCTCCACCTGACTCGCGTGCTCTTTACCCAGGTAGATCTGTTTGTGACTTGATAAAGCCCACTGTGTGGGCGAAACGTTGTCGATAAAGGATCACAAGATACTACATTTGTGGCTACTGCTTTCCATCGTGTTCGTATCATATACCATTTATCTCCAGCATGTCAATTCCCATCCAGATAATCGACCCGGAAACTGGGAGAATGCTGGCGGAAGGAGAAGAGGGTGAGGTGTGTGTCAAAAGCTTGACAGTCATGCTGGGCTATATCAATAACCCAGCTGCCACGGCTGCAATGATCGACTCTGACGGGTGGCTTCACACAGGGGACCTGGGTTACTACAACTCAGACGGCTTCCTCTTCCTAACAGATAGGATCAAGGATCTTATCAAGGTCAAAGGTTTCCAGGTGAGATGTGACAGATGAGGTGACGTACAGTAATGTATAAAACATTGAGTATTGACAAATTATCAGCAATTTCCTCGCTGTCGGTCTCTAGCTCAGGGGTCCAGGTTGAAGGACTTTGCCTCGACAGGTGAGTCTATCAGGCAGTGTCATCCTACATGGCTCCTGATAGATTGTGCCCTGAGACACGCATTACCCTGACACATTATCCATGTCGATTTAAAGCAAATCCTATATATTTTCCTTGGTTGCCAGAGCAACCACCACCATCAACTATATCTTCTCCCTCAATCCAGGTGTCTCCTAAACAAGTAGAGGAGGTGTTGATGGGGATGGAGGGTGTTGGGGAGGTGGCAGTGGTGGGGGTACCACACCCCAGGACAGGTGAGGCAGCTAGGGCTTATGTGGTACCTAAGCCCTCAGCACGTCTCTCCCCGGCACTCCTACAGCGTTACGTAGCAGGTAATTACCTATTTGTACTTACAATATCAGATTTATGTTGGTGGTATACCATTTACAGTGTTTGTAGTTACAAGAACAGAGAGAATTCTTAACCTAACCCTGTACAGACCCGAGAAAGAGAGAGAGAGAGAGAGAGAGAGAGAGAGAGAGAGAGAGAGAGAGAGAGAGAGAGAGAGAGAGAGAGAATCATTTACGTGTATCACACAGAACGCCTGGCGCCCCATAAACATCTCACAGGAGGTGTGGAACTGCTGGAGATGTTACCCAGGAACCAGTCAGGCAAGGTTCTCAAGAAGAAGTTGATAGAATCCTACATCGCCTCCTCCAAGCTCTGAGGTCTTCAAGCTGCAGTAGCTGCTGTCTTCAAGCTCTAAGCTTTTGGGCAAAAGCAGTAGCTACTGTCTCCAAGCTTCAAGCTCCCTGACAGAAGCAGTAGCTACTGTCTTCAGGCTGCAGTAGCTGCTATCTCCAAGCTCTGAGAGCCTTCAAAAAAACAGTAGCCTAAGTAACTACCCTCACTGCCACTCACGCATCTTCTGGAGATGGCAGATGATGTATTTCAAAAATAATAAATGATAACCAGAGCATAATATGGTTTATTTCCTCCTCTAATATAAATCTATCAATTTATCTACCGGGGACAGTCACATCTCTCTTTAAAGGTATCTAATAGTTACCTGTTTACTAGGGGTCTAGAGACTAAGTGTATTTAGACACAGGTACACTTAAGTACACTTATCATACATACTTTGACATTCTAAATAACGACTGTAAAAAAAAATATTGAATGTAAGCAGATAGTCGACACACTCCCTACTCTTTCTAAAGCCTCCTTGTTCATCTGTGATCCTGCTCTCCATCTTACCTCTAATTCTATCAATAATAACCGTATCATACACTTTGCCTGGTATACTCAGTAGGCTTAGTTTCCTATACAGTGGTCCCTCGTTGTTCGTAATTAATCCGTTCCTGGAGCCATTACTATAAACGAAATTTACGATTTACGAATCAATTTTCCCCATAAGAAATAATGTAAATACAATTAATCCGTTCCTGACACCCAGAAGTATTAAAACAAAAAATGTTTTAACATGAAATATACATGTAGTACATAAACAATACAATGGGAAATGATGAATGAAACATTAACATCATAACACTTACTTTTATTGGAGATTCTTCTTAGTGTATGGGAGACTGGAGGAGGAGAGAGAGTGGATTGTTTATAGTTTGGAAGGGGAATCTTCTTCCATCAACACCTCAGGTACCATTTGCTTTTCTGGGGTTGCTTCTCTTCTCTGTTTCTTAATGCCACTAGGACCACCTTGAGAGTCACTGGAGTCCTGTCTTACAAAGTAACTGTGGAGAGAGCTCTGTTTCTGGCGTCTCTTTAACACTTCCCTAAAATGGCCCAAGACTTTGTCACTGTACATGTTGCCAACCTGGCTTGCAACAACCTGTTAGGGTGATGTTTCTCCATAAAGCTTTCCATCTTACCCCACATATAAGGGGGATTACCAACAGACCCCTGGCAGTCTTCAAGCTGGCACTGGACAAGCACCTAAAGTCAGTTCCTGATCAGCCGGGCTGTGGCTCGTACGTTTGCGTGCAGCCAGCAGCAACAGCTTGGTTGATCAGGCGCTGATCCACCAGGAGGCCTGGTCACAGACCGGGCCGCGGGGGCATTGACCCCCGAAACTCTCTCCAGGTAAACTCCAGGTAAACATAGTAAGAATCTCTTTAATATCTGAAGAAGGCACCTTCTTCCATCTCTCTTCCTCCTCCTCTGCAGCAAGATTCTGAGCTGCGAGTGTTGCTTTTCCCTCCCTGCTAAAACCTTTGCAGCTCCCAGGGGTGACCTCGTTGGGGTTTTCCCCCAATTTTTTTTTCCCACCCCCAAACTCCCTCAACCCCATGAACTCCCCCAGTGGCCACAATTTATTTTACAACAAAAAAGGGCTCTTTGGGGGTCATCCCAAATTCTTCAAAATCCCTCTTGTCGACGCAACTGGCCAAAATTTTTTTCTCCAGGCAGAGTTCAAAGTCCTGGTAGTCCATCCCCCCAAGCCATACCAAAATAAGGGTTATGCAGGGGAGATGCTGAAATTGTTTTCTCCCAAAATTCCCTTGGGTCAAGTGAGTGTCTGTGCACATCAAGCACCTGGAAACATTGGTTTTGTGTAGGATTTTTTTTAAAGTTTGCAATACCCCTCGGTCCATGGCTGGGGAGAGAGGGTATTCGGGGGCAAGAATTTTACTGGAAAAAACCCAAATTTCCCGAAAATTAGGTCATCCAATTTTTGGAGGATGACAGCGCATTTCCAAATTTACTAGCAGCACTTGAGATCCAATTTCTTTTTTCCCAGGGATACCCCCTTCACCCCGGCCAAACACTTCATTGAACCACTCGACAAATTTTTTTCCCTCTGACCCATGCCTTACTATAATTTCCAAAAAACACACAATTTTACTTTTTCATAACATTTTTTTTTCCTGAACACTCTGGATTTTCAGAATGGAAACACTAAAAGGGCTTCATTTTTTAAATCCCCACTAGCTTTAGCACAGAAATTACGTCACCCCCTGTCTTTAAAGGGTTTTGTGTCCTGCATTGCCTTTTCCCTTTTTTTGGTAAGAAGGTATCTTTGGCATTTTTCCAAAAGACCCTGTTTTTCGTCAAAATTTAAACCACTTTTTCGGGTTTAGTCCTTCACTTTTTTAAGTACTCCTTGAATTCATGCACATATTTTTCAGCCCCCTTTGTGGGTCCGAACTGGCAGCCTCACCATCCCTTCCCACACTTGTATCCCAGTAGGGTTCTTAAACTCTCAAACCACCTTTTTGCTGGCCTTTTAAATTCACTCACTTCAACCACTATTTGCAGGCAATTTCCTTTACCAAATCTTCATGCAACTGCCTAGCCTTTTTCACAAATAAACGAAGTCATAAGAGTATCTCCTGCTAATTGTTTCTCATTTATCCACACCAATAATAACTTCTCAACCTCTTCCAGTACTGGTGATCTCATTTTTGTCAGCATAGTTACTCCCTTTGCAACAACAGCATCCTTTATTTCATTTTTCTTGGTCACTATGGAACATAAGGTTGTGTAGGGTTTCTTATACATCCTGGACAGTTCGGCCACACTTGTACCACTTTCATATTGTTCAATGATGGTTTTCTTAAATTCAATCGTATTTCTCACATTCTTTACCACAGGCTTGGCACTTGGAGCTTTCTTTGGAGCCATGGTAGCTTATTTAGTACTTCTGCCGCCCTGGCTCACGCCGTGGGTACGCGTCACGGACGAACTACGACTCGCGAGTCAACCTATGAAAAGCGAGTCCATGTTTATACGAAAATACCTCTATGATTGGCGAATTTTACGATTGCCGGGAACTACGAAAAGCGGGGGACCACTGTATTTTTTCCTCTAACTTCCAAGCGCTCTCGTGATTTCTCACATCATCACACAAGTCCTTGACAATGTAAGAAATCACGAAAGCACTTGGAATTTCACTATTTAGTTTTCACAGTGGTTGTTTTGTAAGTTGTGATATAACCTGTTTACTATGCTCTTTATTTACATAGTTTGACACGTTTAAATTAACTAAACTAACACCGACAAGGTCAGACGAAGTGACTGATTTCTGTTGGGGTACTAGACTACCTACACGAGGGTCATTAAGGCTGCATGTCACCTGTGTACCACCAGTCAGTACTTCAATACCCAGGGCACCTTGTTTGTGGAAAAGCTTCACCACACATTGGCTTCGTCAGTCCAATAGAAAAAATGGTGAAGATCAGTAGTTTGAAGAAATCAGTCCCTCAAACTCCTTCTAATCTTCACCATCGATTCTCTGACCCATTTATCTACATTAATGCCTTGTATATCAACTTAGAAACCTACAGTGTAAATTCTGGTATCGTCTGTAAAGGCTATGTGGTGTGATTTGTCTCTATGCCGGATGTGTGAGAGAAGTGGGGGACGAGTACTGTGCCTTGGGGAACTCAGCTTTTCACACCGGCTGCCTCTGGAGAATCTGGAGATCTGGAGAGAGAGAATCTGGAGAATGTTTATCTGGAGAGAGTTCCGGGGGTCAACGCCCCCGCGGCCCGGTCTGTGACCAGGCCTCCTTAGGTCAGTGTCCCAGGATGCGACCCACACCAGTCGACTAACACCCAGGTACCCATTTTACTGATGGGGAACATAGACAACAGGTGGAAAGAAACACGTCCAATGTTTCTACTCTGGCTGGGAATCGAACCCAGACCCTCACCGTGTGAAGCCAGAGCGTTAACCACCAGGCCACCAATATATTTATTAATTTTTTTGTGTGTTGTGTTGGTCAGGACGTTGAAGATCCATCTATCAACTTTCCGAATTAATTCTTTATCAGTTATATTCTATGTTGTTATACCATGATCATACTTGTCGAAGGCTTTTGTAAAGTCTGTGTGTACCATATCTGCGTTCTGTTTGTCCTCCCAGACCATGCTACTGTGGACCAGTGTATCCCAGACCATGCTACTGTGGACCAGTGTATCCCAGACCATGCTACTGTGGACCGTGTTATCCCAGACCATGCTATGTGGACCAGTGTATCCAGACCATGCTACTGTGGACCAGTGTATCCCAACCATGCTACTGTGGACCAGTTTTATCCCAGACATGCTCTGTGGACCAGTGTATCCCAGACCATGCTACTGTGGACCAGTGTATCCCAGACCATGCTACTGTGGACCAGTGTATCCCAGACCATGCTACTGTGGACCAGTGTATCCCAGACCATGCTACTGTGGACCGTGTATCCCAGACCATGTACTGTGGACCAGTGTATCCAGACCTGCTACTGTGGACCAGTGTATCCCAGACCATGCTACTGTGGACCAGTGTATCCCAGACCATGTACTGGGGGACAGTGTACCCCAGACCATGCTACTGTGGACAGTGTATCCCAGACCATGCTACTGTGGACCATGTATCCCGACCATGCCACTGTGGACCAGTGTATCCCAGACCATGTACTGTGGACCAGTGTATCCCAGACCATGCCACTGTGGACCAGTGTATCCCGGGGACCATGCTACTGTGGACCAGTGTACCCCAGACCATGCTACTGTGGGACCAGTGTATCCCAGACATGCTACGGGGCCAGTGTATCCCAGACCATGCTACAGTGGACCAGTGTATCCCAGACCATGCTACTGTGGACCAGTGTATCCCAGACCATGCCACTGTGGACCAGTGTATCCCAGACCATGCCACTGTGGACCAGTGTATCCCAGACCATGCTACTGTGGACCAGTGTATCCCAGACCATGCCACTGTGGACCAGTGTATCCCAGACCATGCTACTGTGGACCAGTGTATCCCAGACCATGCTACTGTGGACCAGTGTATCCCAGACCATGCTACTGTGGACCAGTGTATCCCAGACCATGCTACTGTGGACCAGTGTATCCCAGACCATGCCACTGTGGACCAGTGTATCCCAGACCATGCTACTGTGGACCAGTGTATCCCAGACCTTTGCTACTGTGGCAGTGTATCCCGGGACCATGCTACTGTGGACCAGTG